CTTTTTAATCGCGAAAAATCAACCAGAACAGGATAAAAATTCAAAATATCTTTCAAAAACCGTAATGATTGTAATATGCACAAACATTTTGCTTCGAATAAAAGTATTTTTTGTTTATCTATGGCCTGTTCCAGAACCTGCAAGAATGTACAATTTTTTACTACGATAACAATTTTCCCTTTATGATATCGGAAAAAATAGTCAAAATTAGTAGATTCTTGCAGTACGGGAACAGGCCACTATTCTTCAAATAATAAATTTGACAGTCAATGAAGACTACGAATTCGCCTCCAAGGTTTATTCATAAGGTTAACAGGCAGGCGAATTCACGCCTTAGCCTTCTCATGCTGCCAACATTTTAATCGCGAAATACCAACCAGAAGGCCAGAAGAATTGAGTGAACATACGAAATATCGAGTAAACAGATACAGCTATTATGGCTGTCTTTTTATAGTGCTTACAATGACTTACACTTTCTGATGTCCATTAAGATAAATTCGTATTTAACTAGCAGAGACACAAACCATGCATATTAACATTACAGTTAACAGAGTTCTGTAAAAGTTAGTCCCAATTTAGATTAGGCGAGTTTACTTGCGGCAAGTCTTTGTTTGTAGGTGAGAGGGGCAAGGGGTATAGAAATGAAAAAAAATTGCTCGTACCGACAATTTTCTGGCAATTCGTTTTGTGTATTTCGTATTTATTGACATTTGATATACATATATTTAAATGTGAAAAAACAACAAATAAAAAAATATTTTGGAAACCGAATTGCCTTGTATAGACGCATGGAGCAAGTTCAAAAGAGAACGATAAAAATTGCCGCAAGTAAACTCGCCTAATATAAATCAGGACTTAACAGAGCCACTCGAAAAAGTTATATTTTATGAAAAATTGCACTTTTACTAAAAAATCACATTGTGGAATATCTGAAATAAAATATTTTTAGACTTTTAATAATTTTTCCTAAATTTGTACAATTTGGGTGTTCGATAATTGCCAGCAGCATTATATATACCAACATATTTAATATGCCCACTCCTGCTAATAGGACAATTCTTCCAGGACAACATGGGTATCGTTGAAAAGGTTATTGAGCCTACTTTCCATTTCAGTAGTAAAAAGTTTCAAAAAAAAATATCCTTGATTAAGGATAATTTGGTGTCCATTGGTCCATCAGGACAATTCTTCCAGGACAACATGGGTATCGTTGGAACGGCTATTGACTCTACTTTCCATTTCTGTAGTTAAAAGTTTCGAAAATGTTGCCGGATGGCGCCGTATTTAACGATTTTTGAAAATATCCTTTATTAAGGATAATTTGGTGTTCATTGGTCCATCAGGACAATTCTTCCAGGACAACATGGGTATTGTTATAAAGGTTATTGACTCTACTGTCCATTTCTGTAGTGAAAAGTTTCGAAAATATTGCCCGATGCCGTCGTATTTAAAGATTTTTCAAAATATCCTTGATTGATTGGTAGACTCAATAAGCTTTCCAACGATACCGATGCTGTCCTGGAAGAATTGTCCTGATGGACCAATGGGCACCAAATTATCCTTAATCAAGGATATTTTCAAAAATCGTTAAATACGGCGTCATCCGGAAACATTTTTGAAACTCTTCACTACTGAAATGAAATGTAGACTCAATAAGCTTTCCAAAGATACCCACGTTGTCCTAATGGACCAATGGACACCAAATTATCCGTAATCAAGGATATTTTCAAAAATCGTTAAATACGACGGCATCGGGCAATATTTTCGAAACTTTTAACTACAGAAATGGAAAGTAGAGTCAATAACCTTTCCAACGATACCCATGTTGTCCTGGAAGAATTGTCCTATTAGCAGAAGTGGGCATATTAAATATGTTGGTATATATAATGCTGCTGGCAAATTGGGCAAATTTAGGAAAAATTATTAAAAGTCGAAAAATATTTTATTTCAGTTATTCCACAATGTGATTTTTTAGTAAAAGTGAAATTTTTCATAAAATATCACTTTTTCGAGTGGCTCTGTTAACTTTAACAGAGCTCTGTTAACTGTAATGTTAATATGCATGGTTTGTGTCTCTGCTGGTTAAATACGAATTTATCTTAATGGACATGACTTTGTGCTGTAAAACTGTGAATATGTTATTGTAGTCATTTTATATTTCTGAAATTAAGGAAGGGTTTTAGCGGCAATTGAACTAAGTTGTATGTCCTTTCAAGGACATAATGCTCTCGACATCAACTTTGGAAATACATTACAGTAAGTTCTCAGCGAAGAACTGTCAAACTAGCTCTTTCCTTTCGCTCTCTTTTATTGGAATTGAGTGAACAGACCAAATATCGAATGAGCAGATACAGCTATTATGGCTGTTTTTTATAGTGCTTACAATGACCACTTTGTGCTGTAAAACTGTGAATATGTTAGTCCCAATTTTGATCAGGCAAGTTTACTTGCGGCAAGTCTTTGACTGTAGGAGAGAGGGGCAAGGGAAATAGAAATGGAAAAAAAATTGCTCGTACCGACAATTTGTTGACATTATTTGTTGACATTTTATATTTATTTAAATGTGAAAAACTATTGACATCAAAGGAAAAAAGAAATATTTTTGAAACCGAATTGCCGAATTGAATAAAAGAATTATATAGTCCCAATTTAGATTAGGCGAGTTTACTTCCGGCAAGTCTTTGTCTGTAGGAGAGGGGGGTAAGGCGAATAGAATTGGAAAAAAATTGCTCGTACCAACAATTTTCTGGCAATTCGTTTTGTGAATTTCGTATATGTTGACATTTTATATTTATTTAAATGTGAAAAAACTATTGACATCAAATGAAAAAAGAAATATTTTCGAAACCGAATTGTCTTTTATAGACGCATGAAGCAAGTTCAAAAGGGAACGATAATAATTGCCGTAAGTAAACTCGCCTAATATAAATCAGGACATATCTGACTCGCTTACAGCATCGAGTTGATATCTCAAAAATTAACATTACGGTTTGTTAAGCACATATATATGAGAATTAGAAAAGTGTGCGTTAGGGAATTTTTTGTTTGTAATTTTATAAGATACTTTATTATACGCCTTCCATCAATTTGTAACCCAATGAGGAGTTTTTTGATTAATAAATTGAATTGAAAAATTAAAAAAAGAAGATTCTAGGTTGTGACTAATAACTTGAAGATGAAGATGAATTTCTGTAATATATTAATATAATATATTAAGTAAAAATATATATTTTGAATTTTTTTAAGATTATTTTGTAGTATACTGGCTATATAAGGTTTTTTGGCTTGGCCCTGAAATGAGTAAATTAATAATAATATTAATAATAACAATAATAATAATATTTAACCCTTTGTGGGTTAATAATAATAACAATAATAATAACAATAATAATAATAATAACAATAATAATAATAACAATAATAATAATAACAATAATAATAATAACAATAATAATAACAATAATAATAATAACAATAATAATAACAATAATAATATTTAACCCTGTGTGGCCCATAATATTTAACCCTGTGTGGCATCTATATTTAACCCTGTGTGGCCCATGTTACCCGCAGGCAACAAAATGTTTTACAGCTTATATTTAATACGCATCTAGTAAATATACATTTTTTATATTACATATGTTAAAGAACCATTTTTTATCAACTTTTGAGCTTTTCAATATAGAGAAGAGGTCACAAATGTGTACAGTACCACTTTGTATATACAGCCGAAGTTTAGTCTGTTCCAGTACATTTCTAAAACATTTCTAAATTACTCTCAAAGTACAAAATAATTTGAAAATTTCGTGAACTCAAATCTAGTAAATAAAAATGTTTAAAAATGTTTACAAAGAGAATGCCATTCTGTTTTGTGTTCTCTTAAAATTAGTTCAATGTTTTACCAGTTTTGGGAGTTCAGGAGCGGGTTTTGAGTAAAAAGTTGCAAAACTAGTAATATTAGTAGATTCTTTTATGTTCTGGAACGGAACTATTATTTAATTTTTTTTCTTGTAAAAAAGAGACTATAGAATAATTTTTCGTCGACATGACATTTGGCTTTATTTATATTGAACTTATATTTTTCTGAAAGAATGTACAGTATCTCGCGAATGCAAGTATTTGGAGACGTCATATTTTGTTTATATCCTATTTAGGATAGTTGCATTAAATCTGTGCACAGAAAATCGTTCTATGGCCATGGAAAAAATTCGGAGCTCAAAGGGTTAATTGTTATGTTTTCACTGTTGTAGTTATATTCATATCATGGTACAATTATAAAAGGTAACAGCAAATCCCAGCTAATTTGATTCCAACGTAATACTAGTGTCAATATGAATTTGACTAATTATGTTTTAAAAATCACCCAACAGGAAAATTGGGAACGCATACAATTTGAAATTGTTCTTTATTATATGTGCTCCCGTATTCAATTTACTCAATCTGCCTGCTGGGAAAGTTTCAGGAAGCAAATCTTTCTTCAAGGAATAACTCGCTATTCCCAGCATTTTCATATGTGTTACACATATATGTGGCAATGGCTCAATTATAGGAAAGATGTGGAAGCGATAGAAATATAAATTTGAAAGATTTCCATTCATGTTTTTCAATTTTTATTTTGAGGATTCTAAAATATTTCATTTTCAAAATAAAAATAATTTGATGATAATTTGTTTGTTTGTTTACATTTTTCTGTCAAATGAGTTGACACTAGTAGAACTTACAACAACAAATTTCCATGTGGTTGTTGTATCGTTTTTTGTACAACAACACTTGCTGTTACCTTCTATTATTATACCATGTATTCATATTTAGTTATATTTTCGGGATTTGGTATTGTAATTAATTATAGTATGCAAATTATTTCATTAGCCTATAAGTCTGAGTTTGATTTTATTCGTTGCAATAGCTGTTAAATTTGAAAATTAAAAACCTACAATATACGCATAGAATAAGTAACACATGCGATGATATGCTTTGTTATTTTTTATTTTTACTTGTAGAATAAAACATTGGACATCAAAAGAAGCGAAAGCATGGCTCTAATGGAACTCCCAAAGAAGATGCTTATAAACGAAATAATAAAAATCGCAGAACGCAATATTCGTGTCCAGAAGTTGAAGGAAAAGCAAATGATTACCAGACCATCCGTAATATCTGTTGCTATACCGTTGCCTCCACCTTCAAGTCTACCGTTAGAAATACCGACATCGCTCACAAATGGCAGTGAAATGGAGTTTGGCAGTGAGACTGCTAAAAAGACTGCAACAACGTATGCGCAACAACAAACTTGTATACATCACCACCATCACCATGATCACCACAATGAGGAGGACGTATTATCATTACAAGTTCTGTCAGCACGTTCGTCCACTCCTTACACGCAACCAATGTCATGCACAGCAGCCAGTTGTGATTTGGAGAATGTAGCTGAACATGTTAGTCCCGTGAAAGACAGTGATGGCAACGCGCCCAAACAGAACATTCGAGAAATACGCGAGACATATAAAGTCAAAAAGATTCCATTGATTCCATCGAAATCGATATCTTCGTTGCCATCATCTAACATATGCAAAAAACATTCCAAAACTAAATCCGCAGCGAACTCAACTGGAATACGCTACACTCGTGCTAATCTTCTTATCATCCGCAACGAGATATCGGCTCAAGCCAAAACAAAACAACAAATTCAAATTTCATCAAATGGACCGCCAATGATGGTAAATTGTGACGTTATTGAGTTGGAAGCTCGTCTAAAACGACTAGCTATATGGAAGGACAATGATAATGATGCACCGTCCGCTATGTATGGTACCAGACAAAACAACATTAACAACAGCAATATGAGTAATAATAATATGAAATCTCGTTGCAATGATATGATGCCGGCGTTTGTTAAACGTAAATTCATGGACGAATCTATTATTAGGAGTCAGCCACCGCAGCCTGTTGAGTTTAAGGTAAGCTTATTGTTTATGTCAATTCTTAAAGTTCATGTCTCAAATTCAATTTTTTCACGAACAAACGTTGTAGTGCTAATTTTTTATTACATGTGAATATAATAAAAATATTCATCCACGGTTATTGAGACTTTATCTTATCGGGACCAATGAAATTTAAAGCCTGATTCTATAACATCTTCAGTGACAAGTTTTCAATTAAAAATATATTTGGCTTTCACTTTAGGATCCAGCAATAATAACCAATCAACGTCGTATCGGCAGCGGTCGTATACAACATCCCAAATGGTCTGTTAACTATCCTCAACAACAAGATACCAACCAGCATCATCATTCATCATCAAAATCTTTTGAAGGCTTGCATGATTTAGATGTTCAAAAAAATGACGACGATAAACTTACTGGGAAATTTAAATTGTTACAGTTCTTGGATAATGGAAAAATTAGCAATCAGGAAGTACACAATACGCATCATTCCGCAGTATCAAATATTGTTGGTACTACAATAAACAAGGACGGTAAAGCCAAAGATCGTACGGACATCGGGAATTCTAATTATGTCAAACGAGTTGTGTCTGGGTTTTTAGTTGTGTCCAATCCCAAGGATAGAGAAACTGAGGACAAATACGAACAACATCATAAAAATCATAATGAGGAACCCGAGTGGTTTAGTTGTGGACCCACATCCCGTTTGGACACAATAGAACTCTGCGGTTTCGATGAAGATGATGATCACCATTCTGAGAGAAACAGTAGTCGTCATAGCAAAGGAACACTTGATGTCGATGATGATGAAAGCAAGGAGAATCAAAACCATCAGGTAAGTAAGGTAAGCTATATTACATCTGCACCTGCATTTTTTCAGTACGACCAGACGATTTATACCAGCAAAAGGTATATATGGGATTATTTTTTTTTCGGCGTTCCCACCCCTCTCATTCCCACCCCTGCCGACCGAGGGGGCGACCTCCCCTTACATAGGGATGGCGTACACACCATGATCCGAATCATGATGGGATTTGAGAGTGGAATAGAAAAAACCAGCTACAGAATCTACTTCAACCGCCAGTTTGTTATTAAGTTTTACTACTCATTTAAAAATACAATAATATTAGATTTTATTTGTTCTACGCTCAAGCAAAAATCTACATTAGAGTATACAGAGTTAAAGTCAATACACATTTTACTAAGAGGATCTCCCATAGAGTAATTCGTGCGGTGGAAGTCTACATATAACAGTTGATAGTGTCTACTAGATCGGAAAGGAACATTTATTCTAATAGAAGAAATTAGGAAAATATTTTTAGTACCATCATAGTATTCAACATAATACGTCTACTTTTCAATGTAGGCAAACGAATTAATTTTAACCTGCTAGTATAAGATGGCAACACAAAACTACTATTCCAATGTAATCCTCTCAGTGCAAAAAGTAAATATTGTTTCTGCACGGATTCGATTTTATCGGAATATATTGCATATTGGGGATCCCATACAACAGAACCATATTCTAAAATAGGTCTAACAAGAGACGTAAATAGTTGTTTCGTTATATATGGATCCGAGAATTCTTTGGCCCACCGTTTTATAAATCCTAAGACACCATAGGCTTTATTTACCATAGATATAACATGATTGTTAAAATTTAATTTGGATCCATTAGAATACCAAGATCATCGAAAGAATCTACAGTTGATAAAACCGAACCATTAATATAGTAATGGCTTATCGAGAAAGAATTTCAAGAAAAACACATATGTTTACATTTATTTAAATTCAAGTCCATACAATTTAGGCTGCACCATTGAAATAGGCTATTTAAATCATGCTGGAGTAAATCAGTTTGCTTTTCAGAATGATGGGTAATGAACAACTTGACATCGTCTGCATACATGAACAATTTGGAATGCGATACAGAATTTGGCAAATCATTTACAAACAATAGAAACAGAATCGGGCCTAGGTGACTTCCTTGCGGAACACCTGATGGAACTTTAATCGATTTTGAAAGACATCCCTCAAACAAAACTAGCTGTGTCCTATTTTGTAAGTAAGATGAAATCCAATTTACCAAATTTATACTAAAGCCAATATGATTTAATTTAAAAAGTAGAAGCTTTACTAAAGTCTGTATAAATTGTATCAGTTTGTTTACGCTGAACAAATCCCTTTATCACAGTAGAAGTAAAGTGTATAAGATTGGTAATAGTTGAAAGACCACTACGAAAACCATGTTGATATGGACTTAACAAGGGTTGAATTCTGTGTGAAATAACGGTAGTAATTAACTTTTCGAACAATTTTCGAATAGCACTTAATTTTGCAATTCCTCTATAATTCGAGACATTTGTTAGACTATCAGACTTGTGTAAGGGTATTATATAAGACTTCTTCCAACAAGTAGGAACATAACCATATTTAAGGGAATAATTTAATAATAACGTTAGAGGTAATGCTAATGTATCTGAACAATTCTTTAGACAATTCTTTGTTGGAGATTAATGTCACAAAATCGATTAATAATTTCAGAAGTAAATTGGTTTAAATTTATATCAGATGTCAATGGATTAAGAGCTTCTGACTCTGGCAATGAAAGCCACTTCACAGATGGCATATTAAGATCGCCATTATTAATTATGGATTGTGTTGCTAATATATGCGGATTATAGATATCAAGCTGCGATGAAGGAGGAATATATGAACAAGTGACGAATAATTTAAATTTACCCAATTCAATGGATATGCCGACAAATTCTATATGAGTTAAATGATTTAATTGGATTACATTAGTGGAATATTTGGCGTCTACTGCGATGAGGACACCACAACCCATTTTATTTAATCGATCTTTTCTAAAACTTTGATATTTTGAACTTAGAATTTCACTAAGATATTGCACAGATATTTTAAGCCAAGTTTCAGAAAATACTATAATATTATAATCAAAACCATGGCTATCAGTATATAAACGAGTTAACCTTGTATTTAACCATCTTACATTCTGGTAGCAAATAGTAAGAAAATTATTTAGTTTTTTGAAGCCGTTTCTGGTTTACGAGGCAATCGAGCCAAATTTTCTGTCCTTTCTAGAAATTCTTTTACGAATGCTCTAGCAGGCCAAAAATCTCTCGAGATCAACTGTGTAAATATATCTTCATGCACTAATATTTTAAATGAAGATCTACTCTCTGAATATACTGATCGAAGCTTAAAGCATCGTAAAAAGTAACTTCCCTCAATTTTGGATTTAATATAATAATTTATATCATCAGCCGTAGTATCCGGTGCAAACCTAGATACAAATACCATTTTCATGGCTGGAACCGTTACTAATGGTCTTTGGGAGGTTTGTGGGATTATACCAGTTGAAGCCACGGGAGCAGTCACTGAAGACGCATCAGATGAAGGAAGTGATAACTCCTGTATTCCATGAGTAGTTGTCGTAGTTTTACCTGGCGCCTTTTTCGTAGATCTCTTGCGTTTCTGTCCAGAAACTGACGGCGATGACTATTATATTTAGACTGAAAAAAATACAATTATTTTAGCACTAATTAAAAATGATTCACCACACCAATTAGTACAATATGCACAAAATTATTAAAAAACACTTTCAAACACTTTTTAATACACAGACACTTATTTTATCACAAAATATTAATATTTTTAAAAAAGGTTACGGAGCACAATAAAATTGATCAACAATCACGACAGGGTTGCCAAAGGTCAACCCTGATTTAAATTTTTTGGAAGCTGACGTACACTGTCCAACTGTTAAAATATTCCATATAATTCAGGGACCGTAACGGTTATAAGTAATATCAAATCAGTTATAAAAAACAATAACAAATTCTATAAGTTTATTTACGTAAAAAGAGTTTTATTAATTATAATACTTCTCAAATGAGTTTTTTTTTTAACGGAAAAAATAACAATCATTTTTAACAGTTAAAAATCAAAGTTTTTCCGTTGAATAATAAGTTTTCAAACTGCGCAAAAGACCGACGCGCCTGGAAATCTTTTCTAAGCTCGGCTTATGGAACGAAAGTTCTGGCACCAGCCAGCTAAGTAAGTAATAATTTTTCATATGGGAATTGAGAGTGTTTTCTTAAGATCACTCAATATCCTTAACGGACTCGTCAATACGAATCTACTGGTATATGACGCTATAGGTGTCCCATGTCTCTAGCATGAAGAGTTAATTGTTCACATTTTCAAAAATGACTGTTATTTTCGTTCCCTGATATAATTAAAAGCAATGCTTACTACAGCCGAACACGATTATAGTAAACGCTAGATATAACGAACAACATTTGTTTTATAAGTCGCTTTATTATTTTCAATCCATGCTGAAAATATAAATTTTTGATAGTTTATATCCTTTTGATGGTTTGTATCCTAAGAGTGAACACAAGCCCGCCATCTTGTCTTCTCCACTTTTCAGACTTGTTTTTATAATTTTTCCTTGGCCAACCTAGTTCCAGGTTACGATTTACTTTATTTGTTTTGCAGTCAAAATTCAAGTTTTTTTGTCGGGGAAAATTTCTATCTTCCAATGACATTTGGTCCATCTTGATGACAAATGTATGCAAAATACCCTAACTTTCTCTTTTAATTTAACGTATTTTTCGTTCAAATTGTTTTCATTACAACTATACTTGCGGGGCCGTTGTTAACAATAATATGTTTCTTTGCTTTTCTTTTCTCAAACCAAATATGGAAAATTTTATTTATAAAAAATTATATATCATGAAAAACGAAAAAATCGAAATTTAAGAACTATTGGTTTTAATTAAGAAACAGGTCACATAAATTCAAACATTTTAGTAAAAGTCTATATAAATGACGTGTAAAAAACGTATGTGTAGAGGAGGAGGTATGAAACATAAATTGAATTGTAAAGTCAATTCTGTTGGCGTGGTTTGAGTATGTTTTCTGTGAAGTTGTAGTTTATAACAATGTGATATTATTGCCATGGAAGAAATAGCAGATATAGTTGTTAAGTACTGCAATATTGTTATTATTCAACAATAACATGTTTGAATGGCACATTGTTCTACGTCGTTATTAGATTGCGTGAATTCGTTGGTTTTATCGAATCAATTTCCTGTCCTGGTATTTCGGACCATTCATTTATATTTATTTCTCTTAGTATACCTTGTCGTCGGATTAGCCAGTTTTACGAGTATATGGATTATTTTTTTATTTTTATTAATAGATGATATCACACTTTATATTAATACTAATATTATTTAAATGTATATTAAATGATAATTAATTGTGTTTATACCCTTCACCACACTGTGGTACAGGGTATTATGTCTTTGTGCATATGTTTGTAACGGGCAAAAAGAAACGAGATAGACCCATGGTTCCTTTAGAGAATATGCATAGAATAACTTTTTAAATCGATTTATGCATGTCCGTCCGTCCATCTGTCTGTCCATGTATTTTTGTGAGCAAAGTACAGGTCGCATTTATGATCCGAATTGGATGAAATTTGGCACAGCTCATTTGTTTGGCCCAAGGACGAACCCTATTGAAATTAGGAAAAATCGGTTCAGATTTAGATATAGCTCCCATATATATTTTCGTCCGATTTAATGTAAATGGTGTACCAAAGTCGCTATATATCTTTCGATTTGCACGAAATTTGGTATAACGTACTGAATTGGGCCTAGAATGATGTGTGCCAAGTTTCGTGAAAATCTATTCAGATCTAGATATATATATATATATATATTTTCGGCCCAGATTTAAATCGGCCCAGATTTAGATATAGCTCCCATATATAGTTTCGTCCGATTTCATGTACATTGTGCA